TCACTCCTTCCTGTGATTTTTTGTTTATATCACTCCTACACTGTGGTCATCTACTGCAACACAGAAAAGGACAAACCTGTAACAGCCAGCCTGAGGCTCACTGCAAGTGCTTGGCATTTTATAATGGTTCCAACACTCTGAATGCACATTTGCCCTTAAATCTGGTGCCCCATCTCTTCCAGAAATTAATTAGGGTACACATGCATAATTTTGTGACATTACTTTCCTCATGGTATGACACTGTAAATCTGTCTTTGACAGAATTCCCATACTGACACAATACAAGGAAATTGAAAAGACAGAGGATCAGTAAATTATGGAAGAACTGATTTGTGGATATCAAAGTGAAATATTAGCAATGTTGAATCAAGCAGAATACTTTACTCTAAAGGAAAATGAACACTATGAAACAAAGGTGGCTTTTTCCCACCTTCTTCTAACCAAAGCCAACTTTCCCATGACAAAAATTACCTGTACCTATCCTAAGCACAAAAAATTACCTCCGTAAGTGAGTGCTTAGTGCTTTATGGTACTTTGGTTGGTTATGGGATTAGGCTATTGGAAGATGAATGAGGTGATCTAGCCAACAGGTTTCAGCATTATGAAGCCATTTTGGTTTTGTTCAGGAGATACTGCAGCCACTTCTGTGCTTGTTGAAATGGTGACCTAGACTGGTCAGTTGGCTGATGGCTGGGCGGCAGGTGCAGTTGGAGGGGGTCACGTAACCTCTGGATGTCTGCTTCTATTCGCGAGATACTGTCTTTCAATTCGTTGTAGCGATCCAAGTCGAGACCAACTTTTCGGGCACGTTTATGCAGGATGATCAAGTGCTGGCGATCCTTCACATCTGGCAGAACATACTCCTGTCACAGAAAGAGAGAATTTCACACCATTTCAGTTAACAGAATTATAAAAGTAACAATAATAATCTCCATACTGGCTTATTACATTGCAATGTACTGTAGTGATCTGGTGCAGAAATTACGGTAGCAGCTTGACTGCATCAGGACATTTCTCTCTTTGGTAGCAAGGACTGAGCCACACTAGAGTGCAAACCGTGACATCTACTATGGTACTTACTTACTTACTCATGGAGCTGAGCCCTTCTGGAGGAGCTGCCAATTCTGCAGCTACTCAAGAATTTCCAAGCATTTTATGGAACCCGAAGGTTCATTACTGTGTTCACAAGAGCCCTCCACTGGTCCCTGTCCTGAGCCAGATCAATCCAGTCCATACCATCCCATTCTATCTCTATCTCTCTAAGATCCATTTTAATATTGTCCACCCACCTATGCCTTGGTCTTCCCTGTGGTCTCTTTCCTTCTGGCTTTCCCATCAATACCCTATATGCATTCCTCGTCTCCCCCATTCCTGCTACATGCCCTGCCCACTTCATCCTCCTCGACTAGATCATTCTAATTATACTTCGAGAAGAGTACAAGTTATGAAGGTCCTCATTATGCAATTTTCTCTAACCTCCTGTCACTTCATCTCTCTTCGGTCCAAATGTTCTCCTCAACACCCTGTTCTCAAACACCCTCAGTCTATGTTCCTCCCTTAATGTCAGAGACCAAGTTTCACACCCATACAGAACTACAGGCAAACTTATAGTTTTGTATATTCTAATTTTTATGTTTTTTGGACAGCAGATGAGAAGGCAAAAGTTTCTGGACAGAACTGACGTCTACTATCGTAACACATCATAAACAAATGCAGATGTTGGCCAACCTTGGGAAAGAACTTTGAAACAAATGAGAAACTACTAGAAAAATACATAATTAAAATATTTATTAAGTACCAAATTGCTGGGTAGCATAGTTGGTTGAGGGGCTATGCTACAAGCAGGAAGGTCGCACGTTCAAGTCTCGACGAGGTCACTGGATTTTTTTCAATTAACCTAATCCTTCCAGCCACACTATGGCCCTGGGGTTGACTCAGCCTCTAACAGAAATGAGTACCAGGAATTAATTAAATAATTTTCCTGTGGAGTAAAGCGCAGCTGGCACATAAGGCTGACAACCTTACCGCCATCTTTGAGCCGATTGTCTAGTTAATGTGTGACCCTCAACGTCTCAACAGGCCTTCATGGCCTGTTACAGGGATAGCTTTACTTTTACTTTTATATGATTTTTG